GTACGTACTACGTACGTACGTACTACTACGTACTACGTACGTAGTAGTAGTAGTAGTAGTATAGTAGTAGTAGTAGTAGTAGTAGTAGTCGTAGTCGTTACCGTTAACGTTAACGTTAACGTTAACGTTAGTTAGTTAGTAGTACGTACGTACGTACGTACGTTACGTTACGTTACGTACGTAGTAGTAGTAGTAGTAGTAGTGTGTGTGTGTGTGTGTGTGTGTGTGTGTGTGTGTGTGTGTGTGTGTGTGTGTGTGTGTGTGTGTGTGTGTGTGTGTGTGTGTGTGTGTGTGTGTGTGTGTGTGTGTGTGTGTGTGTGTGTGTGTGTGTGTGTGTGTGTGTGTGTGTGTGTGTGTGTGTGTGTGTGTGTGTGTGTGTGTGTGTGTGTGTGTGTGTACAGGTGCGACGGTTGAGCAGTTTGAGCAGGCGAAGAACACGATGTCAACGCTGAAAAACGACCCGGGAAACGAAGCCAAGCTGAAAATCTACGCTCTGTTCAAACAGGTGAAGCTTTATTAAAGATACATATTCTATTATTGTGTTTAGCTCCTCTGCTGGGACATGTCTCCTCTCTGCTGGGACATGTCTCCTCTCCTCTCTGCTGGGACATGTCTCCTCTCCTCTCTGCTGGGACACGTCTCCTCTCCTCTCTGCTGGGACATGCTCCTCTCCTCTCTGCTGGGACATGTCTCCTCTCCTCTCTGCTGGGACATGTCTCCTCTATTGGGACATGTCTCCTCTCCTGGGACATGTCTCCTCTATTGGGACATGTCTCCTCTATTGGGACATGTCTCCTCTATTGGGACATGTCTCCATGCTTTAATGTTCAAAAAGCTCTTTATTGTTCTCATACTATCTGTGCTGCAGCACCTCTTTTCGCCCTCAGTCTGAAACCAGAGCCCAGTCTGCTCTGATTGGTTAGCTGGCCGGCTCTGTTGTGATTGGTCAACTGCTTAGAGATGTTCCGCCCCTTAGAGTTTCACATACAATGTGTTGACGCGCTAGCCAATAGAAGCGTGAGTGTAACGTGGTGTAAACAGTCCAATGGAGGCGTTTCAGGCAGGCTGGGATTTTAGTGTTTGCACTGCAGACCGTTTACATGCAGTAAAACTTATATACCACTTTAAAGGACAGGGAACACCCCCATAAGCATAGTAGGACCTCTTTAAGTGAAAAGACTGAAGCTGGAAGCTGCATTTCCAGGAATTAGAGCAATAACGCTCAATGTGTTGCCCTCTGTCTGCAGGTTTAACAAACTGATGTTTCGCATTGCAAAAGTTTATGAAATATTTGCTGATACTAACCGCCTCCCCCCCCAGAGTTATAAAGCTTGGGGAAATCCTCAGTAGAAGATTTATCTCGTAGTTCATCTGAAAACAAGAAAAGACCCAGTAAACACACTGGGCAGTTACCAAGTCTTCACGGTTGTCAGCAAAGCGTGCCACCCAGAGAAAATGTGAGGTGAAAGACGTCAGAGTACTAACCACGCAGTTTGATTGACACGGTAATTCTGGGAAGAGCAAAAGCACAAACACCCACAGGGATGACTGAACCAAACGTAGCAATAAATCACAGGAAAAAGGTGTTGCAGATGTAATGAGCAGACCACAGAGTTAAATGTTATTATTGTGAGGAGAATCAGAAATAGAAAAAAAAAAAACTAAACACATACTTGTTAAATAGGCCCTCTTGTTATTTTGGGTTTTTCCTGTAGTGTTATAGGTTTTAGTGTATGTAAATGGTCTGCAAAGGCTACAATTCCTGTGTTGAAAGTGAATACACATATTGAAAGAAAACATTTAAAAGAAGTTTTTGCCAAATATTTTCAGATGGGAAATAATTGTGCCATCCCGTTTCCACTTTAGAATAACGCTACAAAATATATGACTGCAAGCGCAATTTTTTGAATAAAGTTTGGGAAAAGAAAATTCTCCCCACGCTCTACTTCTCACCGCTGTCTGAGGTTTTTCACTGCATAAAGCGTTAGCCCTATATTTCCAGAGCTTGTTTATTGTTTTGCTGCAGCTTTAGGGTGGTGCAGATGGATGGAGTGAGCTGATGACATGCCTCTGCGCTCATAAACATTTTACTATTTACATCGCAGCGCCGCAATACACCACACATTCCTCAAACTATCTTCAACATGCCTCAAATTGATATTGTACAGTATTTTATTAGACCCAACTCACATAAAGAGACGTGCATGAGTAAACGATTGTTGTTGTTGTTGTTGTTGTTGTTGTCTAAAAGGGCTTTAATTCAGTAGTCCTCAGCCTGTGGGAAAGAAACCCTTACAGTGTAAAATACATATACTTTACATTACACCATCTGTACCAGTTGGGGGGCTTAAAGCGATCACATTTTTAAGATACTAAAAAGTATGAAACCATTGGTTAGCACTTAGCACATAGGGCATCTACCACTGTATGTGCAGATAGTTGCATGTAGTTATATGTATTCATAACATTTGATTTTATTGTACACCAAGCAGCTGTGACCCTGGAAAAAATAGGCCTCCTTCACTTTGAGGGTTAGCGTTTGATCCTTGGTCAACATGTCTAAGTGTCTTCGGGCAATATACTTAACCCCAAATTGCTCCTGTGAACATGTCGACAGTATTAAAGTGTTCAAAGTAACACTGGACTTTTATATTAGTTCATCAATATAATCAGTAGGTGTCGACAATCCTCCAGTCGGAAAACCATTTTACTATTGCAGGAAGTTTGCCGGACGTTGAAGCAAATTGTATTGGTGGCCGAACGGTGGTACTTTTTTTTTTATTGGCAAGAAAATCTACAAGAGATTGTACAGTGCAATCAGAGGGATACAGTATGTCCACGTTTTTGAGCAAGTCAGCGAATCCAGTCTTTGTCAAGTCTGTTACCACCTTCGCGCAGCTGCTGGCGCCACTTTGTCCGGTCCTCCGCTAGCCTCTCCCAGTTGTCCGTCGCAATGTCCAGGGCCTTCATGTCACGTTTTACGACATCCTTGAAGCGCAGCAGTGGTCGTCCTCTGCCTCTGGAACCAGCGCTCAGCTCGCTGTATAAGATGTCCTTTGGCAGGCGGCCATCTGGCATTCTGCGAAGGTGACCAAGCCACCGCAGCCTCCTGACCTTCAGTGTTTGGAACATTGATTTGCTGCCCGTACGCGCCAGCACCGCCTCGTTCGTGACCTTGTCCCGCCATGTGATCCCGAGGATGTTGCGCAGGCACCGCATGTGAAAAGCATTTAGCTCTCTTTCGTGCCGCGCGTAAGTTGACCACGCCTCGGAACCATACAGCAGGACGCTGACCACGCAACATTGGTAGACGCGTGTCTTAGTGCGCTCGGTGAGGTATTTGTTGGTCCAGGCTCTTGAGCGCAAACGACTGAAAGACGTTGAGGCTTTGCCGATACGAGTCTGGATCTCCTTAACTAATGACCGGTCACTGCTGATTGTTGAGCCAAGATACGTGAGCTGGTCAACAGCACATGCTCGTTCACCATTACCGGCGACTG